TATTCCCAATAGCGAGGCACTTCTTTCTAAGTTGGATGGCGTTAAATCTCCGTGTATCATGAACGTGAAAACAAGCGAAGTATTTAAGGTTGGTATACTACAATGCATTACAGTTATCGTGTTATTTTATAGTCAAATTTCCGCTTTGTTGTTTTTATTCTTGTACTTTTTGTGTTTATAATGCCTCTAGTTTGACCCTATTGTGTGTGTATATGTACTGTGTCACTGTGATACATATGTACACGTTTTGAGTTAATTAAACGAATGCCTGTTTGTATGGATAGATTTTTACATCTATGTGCATACAGTATAGTTATATTTTTCAATTTTCATCTGTAAAATAATATTTGTGTATTGTTCTAATATTACTGTAAATAGTGACACACTTTTGCATTAGATTGCTAATTTTAGAGATTACAGTGTATGTATAAAATAATAAAATAAAAATTTTCTTGTTATGATTTTGTAGAAAGAGATCTACTTGAGTGGTTCAGTGGTTGGCTGGTCTTGAACCTGGTCAGGATGGATATGGTAATGAAGGTGATAGGGCAGAAAGTGGTGACCAGTTAAGTGATCAGGATGAAAGTGACGAGGACGAAATCACCCATGCTGTGCCATTCAAGTGCATTGGTGCTGTTCATGAGAAACATTACCAACATCATTTGTAACAGGCATGCCTTGCTATTCATGGACAAGATAAACCAGTGAATGTAAGAATACGGCCAAAGCCATTGAATCCAACGGACCCAAGTGCAATAGCAATTGATGTAGACTATGGAACTGGATGGACATATGTGATGTTGGCTATATTATTTGCACCCACTAATTGCTGCATGAGATATCTTAGAGGTCTATGTTCAGCATATAAAGTATAGGGTTGACTTTTTTAAAATAGGATTTTATCCAAAAATTTTCATAAAGCGATGTGGTGAGTGGGAGACTTAAGTGGTAAGGAGGGGCATGAGTGTATGTCGACAGATGTTTGTGAAATAATAGTAACTGACTAGGTTTAGCAAGTTATAGAAATGTTATTTAAATTGGCTAACTTTTTAGATTTTTCCAGCATTTTTACCTTTCACTTTATTGCCAAACAAAAATCATTTAATATAAGTAGGTGTGTATCTATAACAAAACAATATCTGTCATGTGCAACTCCCTCAAAATAGCAATATTGCTTTTTTATTGTGGCATAAATTTATTACTAGGACACCAATATGGTTCTCATTACCTATATCTAAACTTAAAAAAACATGTGCTATCAATAAATGCATCTACCTATTTCGTGACTGAATAGAATTTATTTTGTCAAGCCATGTAATTAATTTTGAAATTGCTGTGACTTTATGTAACCCTTCTGCAAGAATTGAGCCTAAACCCTAAAGCACCAACCCATCCCCAACAATAAAATTACATCTTGCTGTCAATTTCGAACCGTGGGAATTCCAGATTTTTTAGTTTGAAAATTGTAAACAGACTCGGACTTGAGTCATCACGTTGCCACGGCATGACCAACTTTAATCATCGAAAACAGGTTAAAAAATAACGTTTACCTCAGAAATTCTTGCACATATCGCCAGTCCTTTTATAATACTAAGGCCATGGTTGCATTTTGATAGAAAAATTTGAATATTTATATATATTTTTTGAGTTCTTCTGTGTCCAATGCGAATTTGACGGCCAAAAATCTTCGCCAACACGATGGAAAATAGAGCGATCTCATTGGTCGAGAGCTCACGTGACAACTCGCTAATTAGCTGTCCAACCTCCTCTGTGTCAAATATGAAAAGTACGCACATTCCTGTTTAGATAATATAGCTGAAGTGACGGCATATTGTAAACACTGGACTGGACTTTGGACTGGACTTTGGACTTTGGACTATGGACTTTGGACTTTGGACTTTCGATTTTGAAATTATATTTTTTTTAGATTTTCGTATAATTATATTAAAATCTAAACAGAGAACGAAAATTTGCTGCTGAAAAGCGTGCTACACTGCATGCACATGCATAATATAATATACAAGGTAAAAATTCTCTAGTATCAGTTATATAGGTATACCAGCAGTGCAATTTCATACGGATATAGCCTGTAGGATAGCAGGATTATCCAATATTTTGGGATTTAATATTTAAATTTTATATAATATTTGTAGTATAGTATGCATAGTACAGTTTATACTGCAGAACTTCTTCTTTATCATATAGATAATAGATTAATTGTCAGAAACAAATTGAAATGTGACAAAAGTGTCTCGGCAAATACAAAAATATTAACTATACAAGTGATTATTATTGCGCCTATTGAGTATTGAGTATTGTGACTGTTCATCTTTGCATAATAGTTTATACTAGTACTGAATTGTGTAATTGTTTACTCCGTTACACAGTAACGTTTTGTTAATGTTACTTATTTTTGAAAGACATTCTAGTTAGCTATCCTTATCACTAAGACTGTGTGCTTCAGTTATTATTAATAAGTGTTAGTAGATGGACAGGAATATTTGAATGGAAATTTACACACTTTAAGACCTACTCAGTTGTGTATGAGAAGGCAAAAATCTATGTCTATGTGCTTCAGGTAGTCTAGCAACTGTTTGCCACGTTTTATACTGTAATACTACCACTTGCAAGTGATGAACCAGGAGGGAATCGTAATCGTAGTATAAAGATTAATGCTCAGCCGCATAACGTACGCAAAAGAGCCACATATATAGACAATAATATAGAGTGACATAAATATATACATAAAGTAATACTATATAGATTATCATAAAGTAATCAGTACTACCAATGATAATGCATGTATTATATATTCGTATTTTATAAAGTATGATGACTATGAGAGTTTTCGTGTTCACTATGGCTGAAACATTTATGAAAAGCTAAAACTGACACAGACAAAATACATTGTAAACACAGCCTATTTAGGCGCTAAACCGGTGTAAACTATTATGCAAAGATATGAACAATACCGTCATTAGTACTATTAGTATTTTTGCGCAAGTGAATAAATATATAACAAATCCTACAAGTTGTCAAGTTGATTGGTCAAATTTGACAAATTCCCTAGCCTCCTTTGCAGACATCAGAGAGAACGTACACAACTGGCGGCTGCGAGGGAGACTACAAATTCCCCGATAATCACGGCCTCGCCTTGGCGAATAATTGTTCAAAGCCAAAGACGCAATAATAATCGCGTGTAGTTTATACTTATACGTGCTAGTTTCTCAATATTTTGTATTTTCCAAGCTACCTTTGTCACAATTGTTTCTATATATCTATTATTATCTATACTGATAAAGAAGAAGTGCAGTATAAACTGTACTATACATACTATAAATACAAATATTCCAACAAAATTTAAATATTAAATTAAAAATATTACTGAGATGATCCTGTTATCCCACAGGCTATATCTATGAACCAGGTGATCTCGTGTTCGTATTTTAGCCAATCAGCGCTCAGAAAGTGTTGTTCGAATAGAAATCCATTTTGATGTATTCAGTCAATTATATCTTTCGTTATTCTTTATGAAACTAGTTGAAATTTTGTAATTATGTTTGGTTATGAAAACTATAGCTCTGACAAAAATATGGAATCGAAATAAAGTATATCACAGGAGATATTCAGTTGTTTTAATCACAAAATGATCAGTTTCTATTTGACAACTAGTGCCAGTACTTTTCCGCGTATCAAGATCACCTGGAAATTGCACTGGTATACCTATATAACTGATAGTATTTTTTACCTTGAATATTATATCATGCACAACTGTAATTATACGAAAATCTTAAAAATAATATAACTTCAAAATCGAAAGTCCAAAGTCCATAGTCCAAAGTCCAAAGTCCAAAGTCCAAAGTCCATAGTCCAAAGTCCAGTCCAGTGTTTACAATATGCCCTGAAGTGACAAACTTATTATGAAATTGCAAGAAAACCGACAATGGCTTGACTCATGAGTCATTAATTAAATACTTCGAAACTGACGGGTATTCCCCGTTGGTATTCAATTTCTGTTTTTGTTGTTTATCTATCATGACCCGATGACCGTTCAAGTTCGCGTAATCTCAGCCGTCAGCCGAATGCCTGCATGACAAAAATTTATTAAATATAACTTAATAATTTAAGAGACTGAAACTTGTACCTGGTGAGGAAAGTATCACTTTCCTAATAAATTTTATGTCATCATGCACTATCACTTTGTGTTTAAGGAATTCAAGGAAGCATGAATCTGAGTACTTTTAATTAGTTTACAAGGAAAATTGTCGTACATGGAAACCTATATTAAAACATAAACGAAAGTTAACGAAAATACGCCATACGACATGTCTGAACAAAACGTTTTTGGTCTTTACTGTCAATTTAAGATAAATAACATCGCCAGCTTCGTCAAAGCACGGAAGTCAGCAGATTTCAGATTATTATGTAATTATCATTTTTGGCTACGGATTTCCCCCTAAATGTCATACCGAGAATAAATTGCGGTTGAATAATATAAAGCTTCATTTCCATCTGGATTTTCGTTATTTCAGGTTTATCTGTGCCAATACAAACATTTGTTCAAACGACGAGAGCAGCATTTGGGAGTACGTGGCAAGGTTTCGTTGTTTTAAGGTAAAAAGTTAATATCGATATGTTAGTTCAACTTCAGATTAAATGGCACTGTATTATTTATATATGCATGCATGGATGTGCTTGACTAGATAGTTCAGAAGCGTCGAGGCTTGAGCATTAAATGCCCTAGTTAGTTGCTTTTGAACGAGAACACCTAGGTTACATTGAGATCTAATAATTATATATAGCAGTAACGACTTTTGTAATCGAGAAATTTGATTGAAGACTGGACAATTTAACTTGCAATATTTATCATATAGATTGCAATATTTATCATATAATGAACATTAGTGATGTTTGAATGCATCGTAAAGTTAAAATACTGAGGTAATTATGTATTATTTAAACAAGCGTGATTCTTGCAAGGTAAAAAAACTTTAAAACAATAGGATGAGACCAGATCATCAGAATGTATATGTAGTCATCTATATGTACGATTCACTTTGCTCAGTAACAACAATCTCTTCGAAGTTTGGTTTGGTTTAATATGTCATTTGTAGGTGCATGCGACGTTTTTTTTCCAAGAAACTCAGATACTCGTGACCGTACATGCAGGATTTATAAATATTCCAAGAAAAATAAAACAAGAAATAAAATCAGGATTATAATTTATAGATCGTTGCATGCAACAGTATTTTGAGATAAAAATCGCATAACATTTCGCATGACATAAGAAATTATAACAATATTTTGACATTTCTAAAGAAATTATAACAAAATATAACAATATTTGAATTTGACATATTACCGATTATTGAGTATTGCGATTATCTAGAAAGTGTATATATGACATCCACTGTATATAATATGTTGAACCATTTTTGCATGTTTTGTTCCCGAGTGAAAATTTAGCAAAACAATGTCAATAATGTTGCTTTATAGTTAAAGGCTTTTTGCATGGCATGGACTTGTAGTGTACAATTTTCAATTTCTATCCAAGGGCGTAGCCGGCCAGGGGATATGGTCGCCTGGAAATTTTTTCTATTTTTACGGTCTGCGAAACGCTATTTCTCTCTGTAGACACGTTTTATGATAAACTGAAAGCCACAGATATGTTATGATATATGCCCCTCCCCCACGTTTTGTCAGCTTTACACAATTGGACCTGAAGAATTCCACAATTGTTCCTGCATGAAGAAAGTGTGTGTGGGTCGGGGGGGGGGGGGACAGTTGGCCGATTTATTTTCAAAACAATAGAGTAAACATATCAAAATATCAAATATGTACATAGTATGTTGGTATTATTTTCTAGTGAAACCTGAGGTGGAAATATGGAAAAGTCGGCACCTGTGAAAGTAATTTCCATTCATGAAATAGCTCCTCTCCAAAATAGAATTATCAATGAGCTTAGAACTATATACGGATCGGAAAAAATTCCAAACGGTTAGTAAAATGTTATAATAATATCTATAGTATAGGCTAGCTGTATAGTATATAATAATATAGTTAGAGAGCTTAGGCTTCGCGTTCAGCGACAAACGTCTAGCAAAGAAAAATTTTACGCTACATAGCAATAAAAAGTAAATGTGCTTGTTGTTTTAAGGCTAGAATGCTTAACTATTCCTGTGTCACATATGAAAGAAAAATGACACGCAGAAATCGAACGAAAATTGTGCCAAGAAAATTCGGCCTTGCCGTCTGTCTTACTTTTTTACGCAAAGCTTAATTAATCGCTATTAAAATATCTTTAAAATTACAAAAAGAATCACGAGAAATCCCATGCGGAAAGTATGTTGAAATATTAAAATTGTATTGCATGTGACGTTTAGACTGGCCCTTTGCATTCATTTATTAAAACTAGAGTAGCGAGTGAAAACATGACAATCATGGATGCTTTTAGATATCGACATTGAGAGGGACGGAGACAAATTTGGGATGATTCAAAAGCTATCGTCACTTCTGGACAAATTGAAGAAGATTAGTTCAGGTTTAGCCAGGTATAAATTCAAAGAAACACAAATTCTTAACAACTTACTGTAAAAGTACCTTTAAATTAAGAATATTCCCCATAATACTTATTTGGTTTCATATATTCATTCATATTTTATTCATATTGATTCATTTACACGCCAAAGAAAAGACACAATTAATGTACGTGTACATGCATGTCAACTATATGTACACCAAAACTGCCAATATAATATTTAATTTTTAAAGCCTTGTTTTTACCTTTCAACCTTTCTGTTTTCATACATGCAGTTACGAGCGTCATAATTCGTTGGAAAATGCTTTTACAAGATTTTCGATTAAAAGAGGCACAGCACACAACGACGAAGAAGGAGATGCCATAACCGGACCAATCCCACTTTGTATTCCAAACAACTATCAATGGGATAGCAAGATTGGAAAACTTCAGCTTCTCGATAGTGTTCATCGCACAGGATTAGCAGCATGCAATGAAGGTCTTGAGTTCTTACGCTCCATTACTGGCCCAGTTTGCGTTGTATGTGTCGTTGGGCCAGCTCGTACAGGAAAGTCGTATTTGCTGGGGCAACTGCAAGGAAGCGTTTTTCGTCTTGGTCATACAATGAAAGCAGAAACAATGGGTAATATTTTAGTTACTTCATATTATAGAACAAATTGCTAGCGAAATCTGGGCGGTCAGGATAAAAATTCTCCTATATTAACACTCACTAACCGGGTTGACCACTGATCTCGGATAAATGAAGGCAATGGATGCACATTGGTGTGACCACAAAAAATCCACTGTGGTGTTGCGGTCAAAGCGTTTAAAAAACTCATTACAACAGGTATGGGAAGCTATGCCTTAATGTCTTTCAAGTTAAATAGGGAAAAACATGAATGGCTTGAAATATATTCAATTCCTTCTTAAAACTGCGGCGTAAAGTTCAAATCCAGTGAGACTGGTTATGTTAACGTTGCCATTACCAACGCGAGCTATTGTAAGGAGCAGACAAAACATTAAAAAAATCGTTCAGGGAAGCTGGATGACATTTGCACAAATATACAGGAACCAAAATGCCAAATTCATCCCGTTTACCAAGCTGTCTTGCTAAACTAGCCAGCCTGGCTCTCATTATCATACAAACAGCAGCTCCTAATTTGTCATTAAAATATTCTGGAAGTCCAATCATTTTTAATTGCCACTGGTCGTTTCTAGGTTTGGCCAATAAATCTGATGGAAGGGGGAGGGAAACCTGAAAGGGAGACTAGTTTACCAGGGGAGTTTATTGCGACAACTCGTTTCAAGGTTTTGCTGGAAACCTGGTGTGAAGGGGATTAGTGATATGTCAAGATTGATATACTATTAACTTAGAGGGAGTTAACTATTTGCATGAAGACTTTCCATTACGTCCAAAATGGAGAACACCTCTTCAATATACATTCACTGTACTTGATGGATGAGCAAAAATTGGAACGATTCGGCTATTTAATTGTGAATCGAATACATTTGGTCCTGACTCCTGAAACGGTCCACATGTCGTTAGTTTTTGTGTCAATCGTGCGGTACCCAAATACTGTGGTGCATTCCGGAAAGAGTTAAATAATAAGGCTCTGCCCTGTGAAATTCAGCGCACACGACTTATCTAAAGGTATCGTTGAGATCACTTGTTGTCATAAAGATTCTGTCTATACTAAACGTCATCAGTGATTTTTGGCAATAATTCAACTTTGCATGCATCTAAATATTATTAATATTTTTATTTCAAGGCATTTGGATTGGAAAGAAAGCAATCAATCACAGATTGCCGACAGGAGAAGAGACCACACTTGTATTTCTGGACTCTGAAGGCATAGGTTCTATAGACGGCAAGGATTCGACTGATGCAACGGATAACCAAATTTTTACACTCAGTGTTTTACTGAGCTCGTTGCTCATCTATAATAGCAAAAATGTTCCTAACAATTCTGATTTGGAAAAGCTCCAGTAAGTAGCCTATTCATCTCAGGATCATTGTAGGTCATCTTCATTTATCTTCATAACTGAAATATAACGTGGAATCATGCAGTTAACGAAGAACGTTTGATGATAACCATGGCAGCTAAATGCTTGTTATAATTGGGAGTTTTACCTGAGAAAATTTCTTTCAGAATCTACTGTGATGAAATCAAAAGACTAAAATCCAAATGAAATTCTAAAATTTCATCGATTATTTTTCCTGGTTTAACATTACTATAGACATTTTGCATAATGACGTCACAAGGCTTGAAGCCCCTGAGGAATGCTGGTCTTAGTTGTCATCGCCCGGGAAACTTTCGATAGTGGCCATTTTGAATTGTTCAATTTTCCTGGGCGATGTCTACTAAGACCAGCATTCGTCGCGGGCATCAAGCCTTGTGACGTCATTATGTATAAGGTCTATTCTTTTACCTGTATTGCTACAATGTAATTATATGATTTCAACGTCGTTACGTTATTACATGGTTCTGAAGTTTTTCATTCACGGCAATCATGTTAATTTCCGACAGAGAGCGGAAACATGTCGGATATTGTTACAACTAGGTGTTCCAATGAATCGTCCACAAGCTTCCCGTTTTCCTCGTTTTTGTACTTTCTTTTACGTAATTATCCAAACACATTGAAGTTTCCTCTTCACTTCTTCACTTAGCTTTGTGTCCAAGTTATCCGATAGCATTCGTGTTCGTAGCAACGCCGAGAATACTCGTGAGGATGTCGCGAAATTTAAAGAGTATTCGCCTGAGTTCGTTTGGCTCATCCGAGACGTTACACTTGAAACTACCGACGAAAATAACAAACCTGTGGATATCAAAACTTATCTTGAACAAAAGGTACTGTAAGGTCCAATATATGACAAACTACATTCATCCATTCTTTCAACCTAAGGATGAACTAAATCGTCTGTGCGCATGTGTAGAACATTCAGGTTATCTACACACATTACTAAACAATCGATCGAAAATATTAAATGTGAATTTTTGTCGTCCTCAGGCGGTTCAACGTTGAGATATCTATCATGTCGGGATATATAGAATCTTGAATATAGAACGGGTTTATGAAACGTTAATTGCTCAATATAATTCGTAAATAAATAAATTAGTAACTTGCAGTATCTTATCGTGTGATTGCTTACAGATTAAGTCTAGTAAATCTATAAGGTAAGCGTGATTCCTTCCGCCTAATTATAAAAACTTTAAAATACCACAAAAATGCATCAGAATTTAAGGTTCACCCAACGGTGTGTGCACTTGAAGCAAAACTGTTGTACAGATCTTCAGTTTAAACATACATTGGAACAATATGCTAAATATGATACACATCACACATTATACATTACAAATCTTATTATTAGCATGACAAAATTACCGGATGCTGATTGGTTGAGAGGAGTACAATTATTTCATTAATTGTACTGCAGTACAATTGATGATTTTCCCAAAACAAACAAAATGGCGGAAAGGTATTTTAAACACAAATGTGAAATGAAATTGCCCTGGAGGAACTAGATGAAAATACGACAAAAGCACCAAATTTTGCTTTAACAAAAGAACTAAATGAAAATTCGAACAAAAGCTCTAAATTTTGGTTGAAAGTCTGGCAGGACTGGGCTTTGGCGAGAGAATATGATGTTGACATTGAGAAGTATGCGTATCCAATTTTGTCATGCTAATAATAAACAAGTAATCATGCGATGTTGCTCGTACAATTAGAAATTAATAGCACTCGTGATGTTTGGAAATTTGCCAAATTGGACTTGCCCCGGCGGCTCGTCCAATTTTGGCAAAATTTCCAAACATCACTCGTACTATTAATCCCTAAGTGTACTCGCCATCGCATGATTACCTATTATAAAATAACATGTACATAACGCGTATTCTGATTGGTCGAAAGCCGTGTTTGGATCAGGCCATCCAAACACGGAAGACTATCGTGTTGTTGTTATTTTATAAAACAATTACTTTATGGTTTCCATGTTTGGATGGAATGATCCAAACACTTGGGAATGTTGCTCGAGTTAAGAAAAGCGGGCAAAATCACTCGCCTTCGGCTCGTGATTTCGCTCGCTTTTCTTAACCCTCGCAACATTCCCGCGTGTTTGGATCAGGCCATCCAAACACGGAAACCATAAAGTAATTGTATATACTAACTACACAAATTAATTAGAAAAAGTTGATTTATAGGATCGCCTTCGGGAGTCCGAACGAATTTTGACGTAATTGATTAATTTCTCTCTTTAATTGTCTGAAAGAAAATTCCTCATACGTTCTTTAGAAATTCATTCCATAACACACTGTCCACTATAAATGAAACTTTGTTTCCGTGATTTTGGGTACATTGTGTGCAGTTTTGGTATATTACTAGAAAATACATGCATGCATGCAGAAATCCCTCGCCTTGCTGACAAAACCATTGTATTTTCCGAACATGAAGTATTTAAAGCAGTTGTCATCATGTCATGGTAACACGATAATTTTGTTAAGAATATTTTTACAAATGAAAAATCCCCTAAAAATATCACTTTTATAATTACAAAATTATCAATTCCCCAAACATCTATATGTTAGGTATGTTATTATACGTAATTTCAAACACTCATTAATAATTCATGCATAAGCTTATTGACAAATCATGTCAACCATAATATGTCACGTGCAGGTGGCTTTAAACCTGATAAAACACTCCTAATTAGTATTCTTTATATAAAGAATACTAATAAGGCAGAGTCTATTGTAGTCGTGTCCTCATTAGATGCTCGTTTATTAAACAGTACATAAGCTTCAATTTAAGGTAGAATTCAACCTCAAACGCTTCGCAAGACGTTTTAAACATAACTGTTATGCGATAATCATATGAAGATCATGATTACTGATCACTTTCTTTCGCTTGCCAGATCCTAAAGAAGGAAAGGGGAATATCAGAAGCTGTTCAACGAAGAAACGAAATTCGTGATAGCATTAGATCATTTTTTAAATCAATTAATGCATTTACTCTGCCTGTGCCATCTCATGAAAAGGAAGTATTGAGAAATATGGGAAAGCCAAATAACAACAAGAATCTAAATGGAGAGTTTTTGGTGAAACTAGATATCCTGAAGACGGTTATTGCTGAAAAATATCATTCGAAAAAGGGAATCAATGACTCACTCCTCACAGGAACTCGTAAGTTGATATGGTTTTTACTTTAAATATATGGGCATTTATACTACGGCTGTTTAACTTGAGGCACGATATAGAAGCATTCAATTATAATCCCGTAATTCCTGCTTAAATGAAGGGACTATAAATGCTAGTCTGGATCGAATCCGAATTTTCCAGAAGGCACATTCGTCATAACATTCATATAATTATAACCTAAAATGTGTTAATTCATGATTATAATATTTAAGACTGCATGGTCTGCATACGACTGACATTTATACATTTCAACTGAATTTATTATCTTTAAGTCGAGGGAAGCTTTTTTATATACCATTGGCAGGATGACCAGCTTGTACCGACTAGCAATACAAAACCGATCTCAGAAAAGTTAAAGAATCTTTGGACATGTCATACTTACAAGATTAGAGTCACACCATTGTATCGCGAGCTTTTGTTATATTAATCCAACAAATAACGATATATAAAATACCGTGTTTGGTTCATTTTCAATAAGAATCAGCTAAAAGAAGCAAGGATTCTCAAAGGTTGGTTTAAGTATACGACGGGTTACAAAACTGAATATTTCCAGATTAATTGATCTACTTGGCCCACACAATGGCCGCCAGCAGGAAATTGAGCCCACAATACTATATGGTGTGAGATTGTACCACTTCCTGCAAATAATCACCGGTTCCATATATCTATATTTATCATAGCATCCCAAACTACAAAGCAACGTCCTAATCTGTTTAGTGCAATTCCAGTATCATGCTGCACATGCAGTACAGCTCCACACTTAATACATGTACCATGTTAAGTTCTCCTGTATTTAAACACGATTGCTTAAAATGTAAATATATGCAGCTTGAATATATTTTAACTGCATGCATGCATGCATGCATGCATAATGCTATTATAATACATTGTAGTTGGTAAAAGCAATTTGATTGGCTAAGAGCTTACAGTTAAATCGCGCAATCACGCAACCTACAGAAAATTCAGTTATCTGCTGGTAGATAGCTGAGTTATCCGCAAATGAGCCTGCGATGGTTAGCAAGCGGTATCTATTTAACACAAACAAATGTATAATAAAACAATTATTGAACTCGGTTTTTGCGACATGCAAAATTATCAAGGTCTCGGTAAGCGTTATCAGCCTCGCCTTCGGCTCGGCTTCGGCTCGGCTGATAGCGCTTACCTCGACCTTGATAATTCCACATATCACAAAAACCTCATCCAATAATTGTTAATTATCCAACAGCTATTACGATACTGCACATAATTTTGGTACTGCACATAATGCTCCTAATAGGCAATTCCAGCTTTTAGTTTACGCGTGCAGGGGACGATGGGAAGTAAGGTATCACATTGCTGATTATGCTGAAAAATAGATATGGTGGCCGTGTAAACACGGAGTGATAGCTTATACTTGTAAATATTACAATATTTCGGTTGTTTCGGTAGTTTTTATTGAAATATTTCAGCATAATCAGCACTGTGATACCTTACTTCCCATCATCCCCTGCAGGCATAAACTAAAAGCTGGAATTGCCTATTAAAACCTCAGTTTATTGATTCTTTTAAATATCAAATAATCAACTAACTTTTCAGAGCATCTTTATAACGACATCTGTTTATAGAACTGGCAGATATGCTTGAAAGCTATACTCATGCTTTGAATACCAAAGGCTATATTCCAGATTGGCAATCAGCTTGGGAATTAACCGTCAAAATAGCGTATAAAAGAGCTGGTAAGTTCTGCAATTAGTAGTTTTGAATTGTATTCGATCGGAGTATTGAAGTGGTTTTTCCATTTATGAAAACAAAGATTAGTTGTATAGATTTAGTGTGTAGATCAAAGTGTAACATCTAATTAAAAATGTTGCGTAATGCACTCAATTTCAATACTATATAATTATTTTTAAATTTATAATCTGATTCCAACGTAAAATTCTAACGCCTGTATTCTAAAAGCTCACTCACCCTCACACTCGATGAGTGGAAGTTCGATCTGAGCATCTCTCGAGTATCATTGCTGTTTTTGAATAGCTGGAGGGTTAGTGTCGTATCTTACTATGTGACTACTCACCCTCCAGCTATTCTTGACACTCATGTAAGAGAAGCTCACAGCAGATTGAACTTCCAATCATTGAGTGTGAGTTAGCTTTTAGAATACGGGCGTAAGTCCTCGTCAAAAGCTTGCCGCTTGAGCCCTTACGGGACTTATATGCAGTCGGTTAGGTGGAATGACCCTCAAAATATTTTTTTTATATTCAGTTAAAACTAGCAATAAAGTTTAAATGGTATATTATGAAAGTCCATAGAAAAGTATTTACATTTATGTGAGTTCGACATATGCTGTTGCCATGGTTACCAAGATAACAGCTCGAAACGCCTTGCAGCGGACCATTGCGCCAAACATGATAACTGGAAAGGAATTTAAGATTTGTCTATGAAACTTTGGGAAAATAATAAGCGCTACTAGACCCATGCAATGAACTAAAAGATTTTAAATCAGATAAATAGTTTCTAAGTTCTGAATGAAACAATGTTGTGCCTGAAATTTAATCATGATCAGCATGAATTTTCGCTTATAGCACAAAAAGTATTTGACCTAATGACTTCATTCTAGTTCATTGCATAGCTTTTGATGAAGTAAACATCCTCTGAAAATTTTAGCCGAATCTGTTAAATTGTTTTTGAGATATCATTGTTGGCAGTTTACAAACCTTGCGAAAATCGTTTATTGGAGAAAATACAGTTTAAACTTTTCATACTATGTAATTGGCTACCAAAAACACTTCATGTCCCTAAAAGTCAATAGAACTCTCCAGCACCTTACTTTACTCTCTCCCCCTGTTTGTTTTTGTCATACTTTTGTTTTATCAGTCCTCTCATCACTTTACGCCTCTTTTTAACTTTGGGCGTGGATTTGTGTTCTGCATGCGAAACTCTCAACTTGTCTTCAAGTTGACAAGCCACTTCTGTATACTTGTCAGGAGTAACATCCAGTAAATTTAAAAGTTCAATGATTGCTTCTTTTGCAAAATGTAGTCAGTGACTCAGTGCCTCAACATCAAGAACTTTCCTTGTATCCATCGACATAACCGTAACACACCCGTTACATGATGAATGTCCCCTTCGTTGCCAGGTAACGTCACATCAAATACCACAGTTTACAGGATTTGTTCCATCAACATCTTCATTTTGTTGCAAAACACGCACTTCTTTTGCAGCTGCTTTCATGCTCTTCTTAGCAAACTGTCTTTGCATGCTTAGCAATGACACGAGATGACTTCTTGAAAGACTTTGGTCTAGGTGTTCATGACAGAGCAAACCTTTGATGCACCAGCATGACCTTTGCCAATCATTCGCATTCCATACACTAATCGTCAATTTACTTCAAAACTCTTTTGTTTTTCGTTTTGAAATCCAAGACAAATGCATCCATTTGCAGATTTGGCAAGTGAGGTGGAGTTTAGAAGCACAACCTTTACGTTTGATACTATTTTCTTCCATTGTGTTATATACATTCTGGGAAGCTGACAAATATGGAAAAAACATTCTTTTCTCGCTGGAATTCTGCCGAATACGAGGCTGAAGCTTCCTGTAGGACACTGAAATTCCAGCTGGAATGGCGCCCACGTTGCCCTCATCAGCACTCAAAGAAACCTCGCTTTCCTCGTTATTTTCTTGCATTACTGGCTCACCCTCTCCCTCATATATTCAACACGAGAACGTTTAGTATGTCGATTGCCACAAAATTGGCGTTTTTTACGCTTCTGTGTAGCAAATTTTCCCATTTTATTTTCGTAAAATAACTCTCGATCACAATGTTAGAAAGAATGTTGTTTTCATTTCGTCTGCGCGTTTCGTAGGGGGCCTGGGGAAAAGCTTAGATTAGAGCCCAGTCTTCCCTAAATACCCCACGCTTTTTACGGAAAATTTTGTAAATAAGTTCGCTTTTATAGGCAAGAAACAAAGGGTAAAGAAATTTTTTTCCATAGCAACGAGTGAACATCCAGTAAAAAGCCCTTTAAATAAACACATTTTAGGCATAAAATCATGGAGAAAGCAACATAGGAGTATATTTTAATAACATAGGCATCATATAAAACCAAAAACAATTTTTTTAATTTTTTCAAAAATTTGAGAAAAATTTGAGGGTCATTCCACCTTTTAATATTTAGAGGTAACTTGGTCACGTATTCAAGTGCGGAGGCGTCCTTCATAACGCATATAAAATAGCTAGTGTCTGGAGAGATTTGGTAAGACTGAAGTTACATTCAAGAAAAGGTGTGACTGTTTTGCCGAAACAGTTTAATTTGATGAAAATCCTAATCGGGAGTAATTCCTGACATTTCCCTCGGCTAATTTATATTTATTAAATTTATATGTATATAACTTATATACATTTTAATTGGATGGTTTCGAGTGCGATTTTGAAAAAAGAACATGCAGTGAGTGAACTGCATTGCCAGTACAAAATTAATTGCATAGACTACTTTTAGCCAATCAGAATTGAGTAATGAAGATTAATATAATAATATTATTTATATACATGACGAAGTTATTGCAATCTGATTGGTTAAGAGGAGGGCGATTATTTCATTAATTGCACTCAATTGGAGTATTCACGTGACATCAATACAGGGGGGGAGGTTAGCTATAGTTTTTCCATATATAATAAATATAATAAATAGATAATCACACGGGCAAGTCATGCAATTAACGATTAACACGTGATTTTTGAAATCATACTCGTGATTTTTGAAAAATGTGCCAACTCGCACTCGCCTCGGCGGCTCGTAGTATTAATCATTAATTGCACTCCTTCCCGTATGATTACCTACACTAATTACATTATATTAATTATTAGCAATAATAATATTAATTTTAATATTATTTTAACAATAATAATAATAAATGTTAATAATAATCAGTGATTATGTTCATCGTTTTGTGTACTTCTAGGTGAGAAAGCATTTGTAACATACAAAACGTGTTTGAACCCATTAACTTCAACATTTCCCTGTGAAGAAGAGAACATCATGAAAAAACATGAAAATGGCATGAAGGAAGCCATTGAAATATTCAGAAAGGAAACACTGATGGACTCAGACGTTGACAATTTCGGAGCAAATCTCAAGGAGTTCACGGTATATCGCGATTTTTTATTTTTCATACCTTATTATAATCATTATAATATTAAAGTAATGAAGACGGAAATTATTCTGATCTGCATTACCAGAAATTAGCGACTTGTAGGCCTATATCTATTTGCATATATCACCCATATAAGACTTAAATATTTTAACAGTGAATATGGGTAGAAATATTTAATTTGAAATTATGATAGTCCGCTTGGAGTTCGGTTGCTGTTAGCAGAACTCGACGTCATCAGCAAAGCAATCGTTTTCAAAGTTTCGGCGGTATATTTCGTTTAAGATCGAATATTTTCAAGAGTGGCCAAATTCAAACTTTCGTCATTATTTTCGACAACAAAGAAATGAAAAGAATCATTTTGAGTCAGTTACTGGGGTCATTGAATCGAAGTACAAGCCACTATACTTACTGTAATTAAGCATTTACTGCATGGATATTGTTCAAGATCGGCTAGTCTTCACATTCATGATATATACAGATTACCTTATCAGCACGAGCTCAACCTTTGAATTTACTATATGAGTAAATTGTTAAACACGTCCGAATTAAATTTTTTATCAATATGATAATTTCGCGGCACCTAACCCCTAACACTAACCCCTAACCCTAATCCCAACCCTAACCCGTAACCCTAACCCCAACAAATATTAGTAAGTAAGTGGGGTGTACTAATCATCCTTACTTGCAGCTGAAAACTAAGCTGAATTGCGAAGGAAGCAGATCCAGTCGGAGGCTTGCTATAAAAGCGCCTCTGGCAGCCACCTTATGACTCATTTTATTTAAACATATATATTATTAACGTTTGCCCAAGAGCACTAGGCTCATCTAGGGGCTTACGTTACATTTACTATTACATTAGACTAGACAGACATATAGTTACATTTACATTGATTTTACAAAGTTCAAGACAGATATATAGAAACACACATAATAAATTAATTAAACAACGAAAGATGATAGCTTTGACGAAATTAAAGAAAACGTTTAGATTCCCTAATATATTGTTGAACATACTCAAATATCACAGTATTGTCTTTGAGTTCTAAGTTAGATGAACCAAACATAAGTATATTCACTTTTTCATGTCAGATAAATGACACCAGCTATCACCATAAACTTGTGCAGCAGCCGAGAGTAAGATTGATCTTAGAGCAGCATACCGTGGGCATTTTAACAGGTAATGAGCTACTGTTTCACAGCCAGCACCACAAATACAGTCGGGTGTTAAAGTACGATTTATTCTAAATAGATAGTAGTTCAACGCACAACAGTTTAAACGCAAACGTGCATGCAATACTGAAGTATATCTATCAATGGAATGATCAAAATAGCTATGATTGCGGTCACATGAAATATCAAAAAATTTAAGAATAGCTTTTTTGAATAAATTAATAGATGGCGAGCTACGAACTGAGTACTCAACCGAATTCCATAACATAGTAGCCGAAGGAAAAAAGGATTTTTTAAATCTTTCAGTTCTAGCAAAAAACAGAGAAATGTTAGATGACTGCCTTAATGATAAACTGGACCTTTGTTCAACCGTCTGGGGCAATAATTTTGACAAGTATTCTGGAACATGATTATTTACTATTTTAAAATATAAAATAAGTTTGTGAACCTGGCGTCTAGTTTTCATATCTTCCCAAGCCAGATCTTCCAATACTCTTGACCTACTAGTACCCCTCATAGCACCCGTGACCACCATGGCTGACTGATATTGTACATGCTCAATTAAATCACTTTCATTATCAGAACACCCATCCCATAATACATCGGCATATTCTAACAATGGTCTAATAAGACATTTGTACAAGTTTGACAAGGTTTTCCGATTTAACTTAAACTTTAAACCTTTAAGAAGATTCACCCTTTTGGAAGCTTTCTCGTGTATATTAATAATATGCGCTGTCCAAGTTAAATTGGATGAAAGTGTTACTCCTAGGTGTTTATGATTAAAAACTTCTTGAATTTCATTATTATTAAAAAATACGGGAGGATGATTTGGCCTAATTCGTTTGACAGAGAATATCATTGATTTGGTCTTGTCTGGATTGATAGTAACAAGCCAATCTTTGGTCCATGCTTTAATGCATTCGAGATCATGGTTTAATCGATCAGCTGTAAGACAGGGATCATCTACTATTTCCAAAAGAGAAGTATCGTCAGCATATAAAAAATTATTACTTCGGAGGTCGCGAGTTATGTCGTTAATATAAATCAAAAACAACAAAGGACCCAAAACAGAGCCCTGAGGGACACCCGAATCGATTTCTTTCCAGTCAGATGACTGACCGTCTATCAAGACACACTGTTTTCTCTCCGTTAAGTAACTTTTAATCCATTTGAGAAGAGGATCTCTCACTCCTAAGCGCTCAAGCTTGAAGAGGAGTCCTTTGTGCCAGACCTTATCAAAAGCTTTACTAATATCCAGGAAAACCATTCTCACTTCTTTACCAAGCTCTAAAGCCTCATGAATTTTATGAACTATGAAAATAAGTTGATTAGCAGTAGAATCACCAGGACGAAATCCAGACTGAAACGGGTTTAGAAAATTTATTTCGAGTAAAAAATTATAAAGTCTGACGAAAACAATTTTTTCACAAATTTTAGATAATGATGGCAGCAATGAAATAGGACGATAGTTCTCTTTTGATTGACGATCATCTTTTTTAAAAATAGGTACAACATTTGCCAATTTCCACTTCAAAGGGAAAACACCCACAGAAAGTGATTGATTAATAAATCGTGAAAAAGAACATGCAATATTATTAGAGCTTGCCTTAAGCAATGCATTTCCAACACCATCGGCACCACAAGCTTTCGAAGTATCAACATTTTGCAACAATTTTTTAACTTCGTACTCTGAAGTTGAGATATTTGATAATGTTATGTAATTTTGAAAAACCTCTAAATTAGGTAAAGTAGCATCTGTGTCATTAACTCTAGATTGAGTGACAAAATAATCATTAAATAATGCAGCTTTTTCTTTTGCATCAGATACCAAACAATTATTCTCAATAAGTGTCGGTGTTGAGCATTGGATTTTGCTTCCATATAACGACTTAACTATGCTCCACCACTTTTTCGGTCCTATTTTTGGGTTCTGTAATTTTGCATTAAGAGTATCGTAATAGATTAGCTTGCGTTTGCGTATAAGTATTGTAGTAAAATTTCTTTGCCTTCTATAAATTTCCCAGGCTTCTGGACTCTTATGTCTACAGTAATATTTTAGCAATCTATTTATTTTCCGAATTGCCCTCCTAATTTCAGAATTTACCCAAGGTTTATCCCTTGGACGAATTGTAACTATTCTATGTGGAACATGCTTTAAAAGTACTTGATAAAAGCATTTAAACCAATCAGCATATAAGTTATCAATATCGTCATTGTTTAGGAATATATCATTCCAATTTACATTTGAAAGCGCTTCTTGCAAAACGTTTTCATCCATTCTTGACAAATCCCAAACATGACGGGTATAGGATTTTAATTTAACAAAAGAAACATTCATTCGAGCATAGATTAATAGGTGGTCACAGTTGCTTGGTGGGCTTAGAGTACCAGTATTTACGAACTATCCCGGCGAATTTGTTATTATGAGGTCCAATAGTGTAGCACCCTCCGATGTTATACGTGTTGGTTCATTTATCACTTGAAAAAGGTTATTGCATGCCATCCAACTATAAAATCGTGTACCAAAAGCACTACTTAATGACGGACTGGAAGTATCGTAATGAGCATTAAAATCCCCAAGGAGTAAAACAAAGGTATCCGGTTTCAGGTATATATTGTCTAAACTGGACTGCAAATTATCTAAAAAGGCATTGTTGTCTTCCGCGTTATAGTTTGGTGGTCGATAGCACACGCCACAGACAAAAGTTATAGAATTAATTACGATCTCCACAAAAAGTAGTTCAAAATTGACATGCTCTAAATCAAAACGTCTTTTTGACGCGAAACTAGAAGAGATGTAAAGAGCAACACCACCTGCCCTTCTGCCATCGCATCTATCCAATCGATATATTTGACTAAAACCGTCAATACTTGTCTATATTTGAATCCGCTAAAAGCTTTAAGTACTATGAAGTGACAATCCAGGATCCGAACTAAATTGCCAGCAATCCGAGCCAAAATATTGGATAAATCCGCAATCCGTTGTATTAATAAGCTCCGCAAATCCGTCTAAAATATTCGCCAGATCCGAAATCCGAACAAACTTTTCGGTGAAATTCGATGATCCGAAAACCTATTCAGTCCCCCCTTGGAAATTCAGAATATCTTATAAATAGGAGATATTTTATGTAACATTCACTGAAGAGTTTCTATATTCAACAGTGGCAATATTGCGCATGTGCAAGAGTTTATTCATTTTGTAATAGCAGAAATGAAATTTCGAGTGGAATTTTTATACATTTATTAGACCTAACCAGGAGCAGTTTCGCAAAATGCAACTATCGACTCTAATTTAGTGTGCAAGAACCTTTCTTCAGCCAATCTCGTTCTCAGAGATATGCCCGTTCGCAGGTTAGGAACCAACAGGCCTAACCTTAGCCTGCGCGCAGTAGCCTAACCTGCGAATGGCCATACTCTGCATGGGAACGAGTCTCTTCAGCCCAACCAGTGAGCCCTCTGAGCTATATTCAGGTGGGCTTATATTCGTAGGTTTGACGCATTCCTGAAAGAAATGGGTTATGTTGACAATTTTCGTACAACTACTTTTCAGATAACATCGCTTCATGTCAGAAATCCCGTTGCAAGTTGCAACAAAATGCCTGGTATACCATTTTTCATGTCCTGCAGATTGCTGTCTAGCTATAGAACTGACGTTCCATGCAAACGAATTAGTATTTTGAAAGTTCTTGTCCTGCAGGGAGGGTAATTTTATTGTTCACACTAAATGAAACAGATTTTCAGTTTAATTTCGGTTCTTCAACTGCGGATCAACGCAACTTGTTTGCGATTAAAAGATTTTTAAAATGCTCACTAAGTGAGCTAGCATGAAAACAAGGCTTGTGGGGCATATCATGCACAGTACGTGACTGTAAATTTGCCGAATTTTGTGGCGACGGTTTTTGAACTTTTATAAGAAGTATTATTCCCCAAACTGCTATTTTAAAAATGTTCGTGACATGTATCTAAACAGGTGAAAAAAGCTGTCAACAAAATATGAATATTTTAGCCCAACAAACAATTGTTGAATAAGACATATATATACTTGAATTATTTGAATGTTTTGTTAATTCATTAACACTTGGTCTTGGTTGCCGGCGACACAATATCATCAGAGCTATTGAAAGATGAGTAGAAATACCCAAAACGTCTTATATTGAAGGGACAAGGTGTTAGAACATACATATACAGTAAAAGCTCACGAAATTTCTTATGTGTGCCCGGAAATATAACCAATAAAAAACTCCAAAATAGACGTTGCGAATTGCTCTCTCCACCGAGCTCCATTTCATCTGTTGGCTGTTAATTGCGGACGCCATGCATGAATAACTTCGAGAAATCAAAGTGCATATGCATATTTTAATACTTCGCTTGATTGACATACATATGCTCTAATTTTGCATATTGCATAATAAAACAGAAACTTCTTCAATACCAAAACAAAATTCTGTATTTCCAAAAAAAATTTAACTTGGGGAAAACGAAATTTTTGCTATAGTATTTTTCTTCTGCACATAAATATCGAAAAACGTGTATGAAAAAAATTGAAGTTACCACTCTTGTTTTCTAGCGAGACGACGCATTGGGTAATTTTCACCCCTGGCAATTTTTCCTTAATAAATTTTATTTGCTCATGCGTACGGCAAAAAATTGACAATTTTTCCTTGCAAAGAAGTCTTGTTCCAAAGCTAGTCATTCCAGCTTAGTTTTGGACAAGGAAAAGTTGTTCGTGTGTACCGACGCCAAGGAAAACTAGACAATTAAGTGTACAGGAAATATTCTATGGTTTTTTCAACCAAGATTAGGCGGTCTTGACGTCAGATAACTATATTTCACAACAGTCTGTGCATGCACCAGCAACAAAACATGTCAAGGCAAACTTGCATGTCAAAGAAAATGTGTTGACCGCACACACGAGCAACAAAATTTGTCAAATAATTTGTGCTGGTCTGTACAGCTCTCAAATGTTACACAAATTAATTTGGAAGACGAAACATTAATTTCAATGTATGTACATGCCATAATTTTAAAAATATGTAAAACCCAATTCCCCAGACCCAGTATGAAACGTAAAAATACGAAATTTAAGAATATCAAACTATTCGATCTGAAATCAATATCAGTAACGAGCCTCCTAATTATTAGAGTTTTGAGTGTATGAAGTGTATGACTAGTGGAACAGCTGGTGAAATAAAAAAACTCAAACTTGAAAGCGTTTTTAAACTTTGTGTTTTGCCCAAATAATACACAGTGGCTGAACGACGCTTGCAGTTGCAACATGGGTCGTGGCTTTAATTTTCGACTTTTGTATCGAGTCGTTTTCTTTTCCTTCGGTCTGATTTTCGCCTCTTTTTACCGTGGTGGTGATTCAGAGTCTGTCTCGTCAGAGTATGGCAGGCGAGAAGATAAAACAGAAGCGAACAAATTTAAAGATGAATTCAAAGGCACACCCTTGAATGTTGACGTTTCTCTCAAACAAGACGAACGCGCCCCGAACTTGACAGAAAATGATCAACAAATTGATGGCCGCAATGCGCGGAAGAAAACAGATTTTTCAAAGATGGTTAGAAAAGGTAACATTTGAAAAATATTAATGTGAGAATGTTAGCATTTCAGAAGAAGTAATTGTTAACCTATATACTTTATTTTTAGCAAATGCGATGAAAACACTCCGAAATGAAAGAATACAAAAGATCCCAGTACTGCATTTTCCAACTTCATCGCCGTCTGAGGTAAACTTTCCACGCGAAGAATCGACAACCATCTCCCGCTCAAATGAGACAGAATGGCAAAAAGATGGCGGTAAAAATATATATTTATTGGAAGATCATTTCTTTCACGAGAATGACTTGAGAGAAACAGCCAAAAGAGAAATGTTCGCTTCACTCACAATTCAACATCTCCGGAACAGACGTGAAATTGATTTGAAATCTGAGTATACCCAGCAAGATTTGTTAATGTGCAACGATTCAATCATCAATATAAAATACGATGATGAATACAAAGTTGGGACTGACTTTTCAATATTCTATAAGAACATGGTGTACGATTATACTGAGTATCGAGTTCTGAATCATGGCATAAAGATTTGTAATTCCACTGATGACTATGTAAGGAATATTTGGAAAATACGCAATAAATATGTAAAGGCGACAATGCATCAAAAAAGTTGCAATAAACCCATTAAAGAGTCTTGGTTGTACCAAAAGTATTATACCGTAAATAAGCAGTTCACTATCTATTTGGGAGGTCGTGGCCAATATTTCACAAGAAATGACTATGGGGTGAAAGACGGTAAACCTTATATATGTGATGAAAAGTTCAGACCCACATCAACAAGGTATATCCAGGAAGATCTATTAATGTGCAACGATTCAATCATGAATATAAAATACGATGATGAATACAAAGTTCGAACTGACTTTTCAATTCTTTATAAGAACATGGTGTACGATTATAGTGATTATCGAGTTTTGAATGTTAGCATAAAGATTTGCAACTCCACTAATAATTATGTAAGGAATATTTGGAAAGTATGTAATAAGTGGGTAAAGGCTACAATGCATCATAAAAGTTGCAATAAACCTATTAGAGAATCTTGGCTGTATCGAAAGTATTACACTGTGAATAAGCAGTTCACTGTCTATTTCGCAGCTACGAGGCAATATTTCACAAGAAATGATTATGGACTGCGAGACGGTAAACCTTGTACATGCGAAGAAAAATTCAGACCCAAATCAACAAAGTATACCAAGGAAGATCTATTGATGTGCAAAGATTCTATCATCAATATAAAATTCGATGATGAATACAAAGTTCGGACTGACATTTCAATACTCTATAAAAACATGTTGTACGATTATACTGAGTATCGAGTGCTGAAAGATGGCATAAAGATTTGTAATTCCACTGACGACTATGTAAGGAATATTTGGAAAGTACGCAATAAATGGGTAAAGGCGACAAAGCATCAAAAAAGTTGCAATAAACCCATTAGAGAGTCATGGTTGTACCGAAAGTATTACACTATGAATAAGCAGTTCACTGCCTATTTGGGAGGTCGTGGCCAATATTTCACAAGAAATGACTATGGGGTGAAAGACTGTAAACTTTATATATGTGATGAAAAGTTCAGACCCGCATCAACAGAGTATACCCAGGAAGATCTATTAATGTGCAACAATTCAATCATCAATATAAAGTACGATGATGAATACAAAGTTCGGACTGACTTCTCAATACTCTATAAGAACAAGGTGTACAATTATACTGAGTATCGAGTTCTGAATGATAGCATAAAGATTTGTAACTCCACTGATAAGTACGTAAGGAATATTTGGAAAGAACGTAATAAGTGGGTAAAGGCGCTAATGCTATATAGAATTTGCAATAAAGTCGCTATATACTTTGTGTTTACCCGTTGGGAATACACTTTGCTCAAGGATTTTAGAGTTAGCATTTTGGCAACAAAACAGCTGATAACAAAGTACGATTATGCTGTGTTTGAAGGTAAACTTATAACATGTGTGACTGAATGCGCCAATTTTACCTTTACTATAAAATATGAAGATGAATACAGTGTATGGAACAACTTCTCAATGATGTACCAAGGTCGAATGTACTCATATGACAAGTACAGAATAACGGATGATGGTCTACAAGTTTGTAATTCTTCTGACCGTCTCATTAAAGAAAAATGGCGGAATTTCATTGTTTCGGAAAAGATAACGACTGCTTTCAAACATTGTAATGTATCTGTGGACGGTTTTTTCTTCGAAAATTACACATTACATACAAACTTGATTGTCTTCTTCAAACCTACCAATCAAAATTTCACAAGGCAAGATTACGGAGTGATTATGGGATATTTTGCAATTTGTTCAAGAAAGCTCAGATTGTCCTGCAATGATGATTTGGTCAAAGTAAAGTACGGTGAACAATACAACGTTTTTAGAAACTTTTCGCTGGTTTACAACAACAAAATATACGATTATCGCGAATATCGATTAAGTCACAACAGTCTTCAAATATGTGTTTCCAATGATTCAAGAGTCCAGACGATTTGGAGAACCGCAAATTCGTGGAAAAAGTCATTGCCCGCATCCTGTTATCGTTCTTATAAATTAAATGCAGGATACTACACTGTGACAAAGCAGTTTGCTGTGTATTCGGCAGATAACGGTCAATATTTCAAAAGAAATGACTATGCGGTGATAGACGGTAAACCTTATGTATGCGGCAAGGAAAACTTAACACCAATATACGTAATTACAAACTTTAAGGTTATTATAGCACCATTATGTGCTTTAGCGCTTTCTATTATTTCTTTGCTATTGTTGTTGATTGTTTACTGTATGCTTCCAGAACTGCGTACACTTCCTGGTTTGAATTTAATGAGTTTTAGCTTCGCCTTGCTGTTGTGGCAGACTTACCTTGTAGTATTTTTGTCACTGTATTCTCATGTAGGTAAACTGTTTGAGATACCATGTGCAAGGCTGTTTGTAGCAAATAAGTTTATGACGTATAGTATAATTATGAATGCTGCGGTTAATGTCTATCACTTAAAGAAAACATTTTGCGGCGATACTCCAGTGAAATCTGATGAACTGAAGAAGTGGAACAGATTTTTGAAGTATTGTCTCTTTAGCTGGGGAGTTCCTGTCATTATAACGATTGTTTACATTGTGCTAATAAAGAAAAATATTCTAAGGTTCGATCAACCTGTTGCGTCTCTGAAGAACAACGTTCAATCGAGCTTAAGTTTTTATCAACGCGTTGTGTTTGCGAATGGAAATCATGGAGATGCGACGGCAAATAAAACAAGGATGTATCAACCCATTGCATTCTTCAAGAAAAATGTCCAGTCAAAGTTTAATCAAAGCATTGTACCTTGGAAGGAAGATGCGACGGAAGATGATGCAAGGATTTATCAACCTATTGTATCTTTGAAGAAAGACGTTCAGTCAAGCTTAAAGTTTTATCAACGCATTGCATTCGCGAATGGAGATGGGAAAGAAGATAATGCAAGGATTTATCAGCAGATCTCTGCAGATTGTATCAATGGTCGAATTACTCCCGATTGGTCAGCTGATGTTGATGTATATGGCCTTCAAGGTTGTCTTTTGTTGTACATTATTGGAATGTTCATCTTTACTGCTTATCGAATTCGCCCAAAACTCAAGGCAAGCAGGAACATTGCACAGAAGTCGAATGTTGTTAAGCGTCATAAATTTGTCATACTGCTCAAGCTGTCAACCACTGCAGCCTTAAGTTATTGGTTTCCTCTCTTCATATCTAGAATCGTGGATTTTGATTTCGACATAAAGATAGCGCTGTATACTGTAACGTTGCTTACTGGTGCCTACATTGGTATTGCGTTTGTCTTCACACGAAGAAATTATCAGTTGCTCAAGAAAAAATATTGCCCTGCAAACAATAACCCGCCAGTTAATAACGAAATTCCGCTGAACAGACTATAGGAGTATAGAATCTGTAATCATGTGCACACTATAGCCAATGTAAAAACGCTTATAGTACAATACTATCAATTTAAAATGTATCTACACAGTGTGTTTAAGATCGTTGTAGCATAGTAAAGTAAATAAAACGCAAAACCTTGTGTGTGTTTTTCAGTAAGTTTCGTGTGGAAGATAGGATGGGCGAAAGTACCCTGACAGTCCCCAACCCACCCCCGTGAAAGCTCAGCATGAAGTAATTTATATTTCTGTAATTATGCGGGTTACAGTCATATCCTACTCCTTCCAACGATATATGAAGCATTGGGTAATTTTCTCCTGTAAAGCCTGGTTTCCATGTGGTTGTAACGGTCGTTTTAGAACTGAAAATATGCGGAGTGATTATAACTAGAAAATATACTTATGATATATAATATGTGGTTTACAGGTATAAACTATTATAAACTGGCCGTTGAGAAAGATCGTGACTCTAGTTTTACGACCATATGGAAACCAGGCTTAAGTTTGTGTGGGCATTAGTTGCTATGGCAACGGATATAAAACATTTCAAATTATATAATAACCATAAGAATTCATGCGAATTCATTGGTCGAGAGCCATGATCTATTGGAAGACAGACGCACGGAATACGCGATTATGCCGAAAATGTTCGAAAATTCCAGTGATCATGAACTTAAACAAATTGAATGAATTCATGAAATTAAATCTATAAACATTAATAAATACCTTCGATAAATGTGCAGAAATTACTCACAAAAACTAGCAACTCGGAAAATCTATCATCAATTCATTTGGATGTGACTTCAAATACAATCAGGGGCCTGTTGTGTAAAAAAGCTAGTAATTAAAGTTAATTATGGTTAAGTGCAAACGTCATCCAATCAGAAGCGCCTATTTGTGAATTAATCACTATTTAACTACAAAATAGTGATTAAATAACTGCCTTTTTTCACACGTTTTTATTTCTTTAAAACAATGTTTTTTTCTTTAAAGATGTTAGATGCGAAACCAAGATTCATATTAAGAGTTTCAAACGTTCACTGGTTAAAAATATTTATTTGGACGAGCTTTCGACTGTCAGTCTGCATATTAGCAGTCAAAAGCTCGTCCAGTTAAATATGTTTAACCAGTGAATGTTAAAGTTGTGCGGTAATTTCAATACCGGTTGCGGTATTTTTATGTCGCGCGGTATACCAGTATACCGTTAAAATCTTTTAATTAAGGAAATGTGTGACCTGCAGTAAATGCAGTAAGTTTAAACTTAATAAATTTGTCATGGTGGGATTAAAGTGAATGACAAGTATCATACTCTAATATAGTCTAAATGTATGACAAAATCTTAAATAAAAAAAAAATCTGATTAAGTATTACTGCCAGGCCCACCATTTCATTAAGTCATGCCAGGCCGCTAGAACTTGGTGGGCCAAGGAGGAACATTTTCTTAACAGCTGCGATATGGAATACATGCGAATGCAGTTGATAAGGAATATACGCGAGTGCAGTCGCACAAGAAGTTGAAAGACTTTGTGTGGAATCCTGTAATGGTTGTCAAGTCGGTCATCCTGGTCAAAGACAACATGACTGCCTCATGATGAACGAAAACGAACGATGGCAAATGTATGGTTTACAAGCGATCGAACGAGTGAATGGTAAGCGTATGGTTTGGTATGAATTCGCTGAGGCAATGAGGTACTAAAACTGGCGGTTGACAGAGATGTACTCGAACATTTACAACAAATGGAAAAAGATCCAGATTCTACGTTTGTCGATTCATTGATGAAACTACATCAGAACACTGAGAACCACGAACTACAATATATACTGAACTATTTGTTTCATTGGAGATTAGAAAATTCGCTCGAGTCAGCAGCTGAAACGTTTTTCTCTTGCCCACCGAGTTACATGTATTCTGTGAAGGCGACGGGTGAACGATTTAGACGTTTTGAGGCCGAACATAAAATTGCTTATCAAGGATTCTTGGAGAAAAAACTTGTAGAACAGTTTAACAAACAGTTTTAGTTGTAATATTTTTTTGACACTATCGTCTGTTATTTGTATCAATAAACATGTTTTAAACTTTGCAAATGTTGCGTTGTTATGCGTTGCTAAGTCATTAGGAGGCGTGTAGGTAATTAAGGGATTAGGCGAACAAAAATTTGCATAACTAAGTGTATCCCAATGGATAGATAGGGATTATTTATAACGCAGGTGTATGCCTTAAAATCGGGCGCGAGACTTTGTGGGCACAAATTTACACAAGAATTTAGGTTTAAAACACATTTATTTCTTTAAGTACTACAAAGTTAACAATTTTTGTCTGTATAAATATAATATTATCCACTTAAGAGTTTTGTCCCGTTTCTGTTTCTAACTTTAACCACTCCTTCGAGCCATCATTCATTTCTGTATTGTTCACATTCTTTGCAGATTTTGTATTTGATTTTGTTCTCTTCCTGGAGGATTTTGGTTGACGAATGAGTATATTCTTTATCCCGCTTTTATTCCACTTTGACTGCTTTTTACTCTTCCCAATTAATCTGTACAACTCTGTTAAAACATTTTCTAAGTCTAAAGTTGTTGGCTTAGCACGAATAAGATAAGGTTGTCTTTCTTGGGACGAAAGTTCATGGACGTCTGCCAAATGGTTTGCCAATCTTTTTAAAGCTCGCTTGCTGCAGATGGGACAATTTTTACACTTCCGAGACATAATGTCAAATGATAAATGTTAACTGATTCCTAACATTAAATAGTTGTGGCCCCAAAGGCCTTTTTGAAGGTTTGCCGGGACTTGGGAGAGGGTTAGAGAAATGGGTTAGGGGAAAATAGCTACCACACAGTATCGTATTTTATTTTACTTTTATAAATCAAACACAAACAACCATCAAGAGTCAATGTCACTAGGATACCGTGTGTTTCTGAAAAGTCTTTCCAAACGAAATTTTCTCTTGTCAATAGCGGCCTCTAACGCTTCCCTGTGGTCGAAATTATCATCGTTGACAAAGACATCCCTGGTTTCCATTATCTTTTTGTGTATTGGATCTCTCTTTAGTTGTGTTCTCCATAGCAGACGTTCCAAATAAATATTCAGCAAATCTTTGCGAAGTTTTGGTAGGATAAGTAAATATGCCTTGTCCTTGTCGAATTCCGATAAACTTTGTTGGGTTGCTTCAGCTTTTAAAGGAGCCCATGGATCGCTTTCGTATTCATCACCTACTTCACTACTAGTATCATCTACATTATCAGAATCACTCTCTGACGCAGAATCAGTTTCCACTTCGTTGTCAGTGTTATACGAATTCTCAACATCAATCTCTGATGTAGCACTATCAGAGTCTGCAACCGTTCTCATTTTTTTCATCTTTACACTGAAATCTGTAGTAGGTTTCTAACAGTACTGTATTTCCTTCGTATATTGTTAGGTTGAAACAACTCCAACTACAACCAACCGGCGAATGATCAATTTTCTGAACAACATCACATTTTATGAAGTGACCTTAAGTCCCGATTGGTGATTGGCTGGGACACTTCCCAACAATCCTCCCCACCAATAGGATTCTAGAGAATCGGGCCACAAGGCCATAAAATGACCCTTGGGGCCAATGCGAAAAGTGGCCCCTAAGGCCTTTTTTATGGCCTTGTGGCCCGATTGGCTGGGATACCTCCCACCAAGAGGGGCTCTAGAGAATCGGGCCACAAAGCCATAAAAAAGGCCCTTTGGGTCAATGAGAAAGGTGGCCCCAAGGGCCTTTTCTACGACCTTGTGGCCCGATTGGCTGGGATACTTCCCACCAATAGGGCTCTAGAGAGTCGGGCCACAAGGCCATAAAAAAGGTCATTGGGGCCAGTGCGAAAAGTGGTCCATATCCCAACCAATCATCAATTGGGCCACAAGGCCGTAGAAAAGGTCCTCGGGGTTACTTTTCGGTTAGTTGTGGTTGGAGTTGTTTCAACCTAACAATATACGAAGGAAATACAATACTATTGGAAACCTACTACAGATTTCAGTGTAAAGATGAAAAGAATGAGAACGGTTGCAGACTCTGATAGTGCCACATCAGAGAGTGATGTTGAGAATTCGTATAACACTGACAACGAAGTGGAAACGGATTCTGCGTCAGAGAGTGATTCTGATAAAGTAGATACTAGTAGTGAAGTAGGTGATGAATACGAAAGCGATCCATGGGCTCCTTTAAAAGCTGAAGCAACCCAACAAAGTTTATCGGAATTCGACAAGGACAAGGCATATTTACTTATTCTACCAAAACTTCGTAAAGATTTGCTGAATATTTATTTGGAACGTCTGCTATGGATAAGACAACTAAAGAGGGATCCAATACACAAAAAGATAATGGAAACCAGGGATGTCTTTGTCAACGATGATAATTTCGACCACAGGGAAGCGTTAGAGGCCGCTATTGACAAGAGAAAATTTCGTTTGAAAAGACGTTTCAGAAACACACGGTATCCTAGTGACATGGACTCTTAATGGTTGGTTGTGTTTGATTTATAAAAGTAAAATAAAATACGATCCTGTGTGGTAGCTATTTTCCCCTCACCCATTTCTCTAACCCTCTCCCAAGTCCCGGCAAACCTTCAAAAAGGCCTTTGGGGCCACAACTATTTAATGTTAGGAATCAGTTGACATTTATCATTTGACATTATGTCTCGGAAGTGTAAAGATTGCCCCATCTGCGACAAGCGAGCTTTAAAAAGATTGGCAAACCATTTGGCAGACGTGAGAAAGACAACCTTATCTTAATATTTGTGCTAAGCCAACAGCTTTAGACTTAGAAAATGTTTTAACAGAGTTGTACAGATTAATTGGGAAGAGTAAAAAGCAGTCAAAGTGGAATAAAAGCGGGATAAAGAATATACCTATTCGTCAACCAAAATCCTCCAGGAAGAGAACAAAATCAAATTCAAAATCTGCAAAGAACGTGGACAATACAGAAATGAATGATGGCTCGAAGGAGTGGTTAAAGTTAGAAACAGAAACGGGACAAAACTCTTAAGTGGATAATATTATATTTATACAGACAAGAATTATTAACTTTGTAGTACTTAAAGAAATAAATGTGTTTTAAACCTAAATTCTTGTGTAAATTTTTGCTCACAAAGCCTCGCGCCCGATTTTAAGGCATTCACCTGCGTTATAAATAATCCCTATCTATCCATTGGGATACACTTAGTTATGCAGATTTTTGTTCGCCTAATCCCTTAATTACCTACATGCCTCCTAATGACTTAGCAACGCAAAACAACGCAACATTTGCAAAGTTTAAAACATGTTTATTGATACAAATAACAGACGATAGTGTCAAAAAAATATTACAACTAAAACTGTTTGTTAAAGTGTTCTACACGTTTTTTCTCCAAGAACCCTTGAGAAGCAATTTTATGATCGGCCTCAAAACTTCTAAATCGTTCACCCGTCGCCTTCACAGAATACATGTAACTCGGTGGGCAAGAGAAAAACGTTTCAGCTGCTGACTCGAGCGGATCTTCTAATCTCCAATGAAACAAATAGTTCAGTATATATTGTAGTTCGTGGTTCTCAGTGTTCTGACGTACTTCCATCAATGAATCGACAAATGTAGAATCTGGATCTTTTTCCATTTGTTGTAAATGTTCGAGTACGTCTCTGTCAACCGCCAGTTTTAGTACCCTCATTGCCTCAGCGAATTTATTCCAAACCATACGTTTACCATTCACTCGTTCGATCGCTTGTAAACCATACATTTGCCATCGTTCGTTTTCGTTCATCATGAGGTAGTCATGTTGTCTTTGACCAGGATGACCGACTTGACAACCATTACAGGATTCCACACAAAGTCTTTCAACTTGTTGTGCGACTGCATTCGCATATATTCCTTCCAAAAAATTGTAAGACGCGGCTTTACCGTGTAGACACGCCACGAATGATGTAGAACTATGCGTTGTCAAATGTAAAACTACGCTTTAATATTACAAGACGCTTGTCGATCGCTCGTTACATCAAACAACCAATCATAGTAAGCCAAGATTAATCCCTCTATTGTATCACACACGTGGAAGGACGCTAAAAAATGCCTAGTCAGCAAGTTCTGACCGATTTCGCCCGAACATGCACGCGTGATGTCATTGCATATATTAAGTGGATGTATGTTAATTAATTAGCGCACCCTTACACACCCTTACGCACCCTCACTCCACCACATTCCTCCTCACCCTCGCTCACTCCTCCTCAAGCCTCCTCACTCCTCCTCACTTCTCCTCACTCCTCCTCACAGTATGAATATTAATTAGCGCACCCTTACGCACCCTCATTTGTATGAATATTAATTAGCGCACCCCCAGACCCTTACGCACCCTCAAAAATCCGTGCCGAACGGCCTGTATATTACTACTCATGACACCAAAAAGCCTCGTGCGCAGACGTTGTTAGTGGCCGAGCCCCCCCCCCCCTAACGTCTGCTCACATTCGCTATACATTTGACTTCCCGGCAATTAAGGGACCGGTCATTATTTATGGAAGGGGGTGGGAAATAATGGGGGGCATATGTATAAATAAATGACTAGAAGGAGTGGCTATTAAATTTTTTCAAGAAAATGAAGGGGGTTGCAATTAAATTTGAAGGAATTTGCTTAATAAGCATGGTATCCATTTGGTTGTAATTGCGACTAAATCATAGTAACTGATGTGAAATGTAGTAACTGATTGTAGAGATAAATTGACAATGTATTATTACATCAGCTATCTTGATGTGGTTAAATACATTTAAGCAAGGTTAACGGCGAATGTATTATGCAGGCCACATCCGCTGAGGGGAGTCTGTGACGTCATATCGATCAAAGGAGGTCGTTTCGCGCCTGGTGATCAGTGCTTTGGTCTGGGTATTCATTCGGCCATTGTATGCTTTGCCTAGCTGCAGCAAGTTTAGCGCTTAGATACCTTTTCCCTACCCACCCACTCATGTTTATTCTAGAGGATTTATCTGGTAGTATGTTATTTTATTTTATATAATTTTTAATTTCACATAAAATAGGATGTATAGATCACTATACATTGTATGTCATTTCCACTGACTTGTCAGTGTGACTGGTGCCGGAGGTATGCCTTGGCAGAATGTCCAGAATTGTCATGGCTATCTCCTTTTGCTGCTAATATTACTGATTGTTACTCTCGTTGCTGCGCAGCTGCTAATATTGGCAATACTTCGTGCCATCCAATCTAGTTACAGCCTTGGACCACAAACGGCACCTGGTTCTAAATACTAATATTAATTCTCTGCCGTTAAACATGGTTACAATCACCCAGACCAAATGGAAACCTGATTTTAATGTTACGTATGAAAATACCCCTCTTTTAATTATTATTTTCTGCTAAGATATATTTTTGGTCGACGTTAATATCTTGTCAGTTCCATATTCTTATTTAATTAATAATTAACACTATAACACCTGGGTATCCCCATTTGACGAGTAAAAATGAAAACAGAGTCCAAAGTAAAATATTCTCATATGTAGGGGGGGTCATCTTAAATTTCTGCTCTAACAAAGGCTGCACACTGGACACTTTACAATAAACCTCGGGCAAACTATATATCATCAGATAGCTAATAAACTCAAGATTCAAAAAAATATATTTTTGGACACCAAAACTGCGTTGCTATTGGCAACCAGGCAGTTAAAGTGGCAACATCCTGTTTCGCGATAGACTGAGCTTGAGAAAAGATATCGCTGGAATGATTTAACCAATTGACATGACATTTTCAGGATATATGAATCTTACCATGCATTCTCTTGGGAATGAACAGAGGATTGTTGAAAATTTTGAAAACTAAGCGGATTACGAGGTTTTAAATATACCATACAAATTTGCTTGACATGTTTATGCAATAACTCATGTTAGAAAATACATATTAAAAAGTCCTCTGTTCATCCCCAAGAAAATGGTAAGATACATAAATCCTGAAAATTTTATGTCTATTGGTTAAATTGTTCCAGAGATATCCTTTCTCAAAGGGTAAAATGTGCGATTTTGAGAAAACGGCTTTAACGTTTAGGGATTTTTTTCAATGAGTAAATGTAAGGTCTATATACATAAGTTCAAAATCAAAGTCTTGCTGAAGGTAATTAGAAGACACCAGCTTCAAATGTGGTACCTTCATCATCCTTCAATGTTTCTTCCCTGCTATTACAAAGTCAGTTCTCCCCTTGATGCCTCTCAAAAATCAGGTTTAGGCATCTTTTCACCCACTCTTTTCAGTTCACGCAGACATTCTTTTTCTAAGACTAGGAGAATGGTCCAGATAACTGTTTATAATATGCAGTTTTTTACATACATGGCATGTTTATAATCCTACATAG